GGCGGAGAGCCGCGGCCGAGGGGAAGCTCCCGCCGAGGAACTCCCACACAGTGGAGTTTGAGAAATACACATCCTGGGGCACGGCTGCTTTTCCCCAGGTAGCACTCGGTGCTCCATCTGCAGATTTTGTCTGCGTAGAAAGAAAAATTCGGCATTTTCCCCATATTTCCCCCCTACCTGACAGCCGCAGTCAGGCTGCTGGCCCCACCGAGTTCCTGGGCAAGTGGCCACCGGTGGCTAGTACGAAATGCGAGCTCTGCGAGCTCCTTGCCGCCTCTGCTTCTCAAGTGCCACAGGTCTGGCATATCTGCAGGTGCACCCACAGTTATTTTATGTGTGTTCGATATGCCCAGAACTCACTGGAGTGATAGTGCAGCAGTCTTGATGCTGGGCATGGTAACTCATGTAGTAAAATCATTTTTTCCCCTATGCATTTTACTTTTATCAGCCACTGGTAACTGAGATACGTAGCCCTTATGTTACTGGGATTCGTTGCTTTTACAAATTTTAGCACATCAGTAATATAATCTGAAAATCAAAATTTTGTTTACATTTTTTAACATTGACTATACAAGCAGAGCTTTCTGGAGGCATAATTTTAAAATGTGAGCATAAAGTAAAGTTGCATAAAATAAAGTTGCAAAGTAAGCAATTTTCTTCTTGATCACCTGTACTGTTGGCCGACCTGAGTGAGAAGCACATTCTCCAGTCAACATACATTATTTTTTCACTTTGTGTCCATGAAATATGACTCTCCACAGGAAGATAAAATTAGTCTAAGTGTAACATAATTGTTGGAATATTTTTATCAATTTAAACCAGAGACTGCTAATTGAATATCTTTCAGTCTCTCTTAGACTATGTTATAGTTGCGAGATGCTGTGATGCATATATAAATTTTGCTGTGCATATTAATTTAGACACTGAATATGCATATGTTGTGATGTAATGAATCTATATTTATGCCGTGTATAATGCTGACAAATGTACTGTATGTTGTTAGGCAGTAGAGAAACAGCTGAAGATCTGTGGCTTTAAGAAGAATGTGGATGTCTTAGTATTATATCTGGCTGGACAGTAAGTAAAATATGCTTCTCGGTTTGGATTTTACTAGAAGTAGAGCACACAGTAAACTGTAACCTTTCATAGTGCTTTCTGTATAACATACTCTCTGAACAGAATTTATATGTTAAGTACCAGTAAATCTTATGTATACCTAGTCCATACGTGTTGTGAAGGGAGAAGTGGTGAAGGCACACTGACATACACAGCAGAGCTCTCCTCAGTTAACTGTATCAGCCATAGGTGCACAATCTTGCTTCAGCAACACAGAATTTCTCCAGGATCTGTAAGTTCACAGAGCATGAGCTTCTTCCTCAGGGAGCTGAGGAGGAAGGCTTAACGGGCTGATCTCTGCCTATTCTAACTGACTCATAAGGCTGGGTGGAAAGAGTGTCAAGACAAATGAAAAAACAGGACGTGTCCACTCTAAGATCAGCCAAATTTCTGCTTTCCCTGAAGAAATCTGTCATTGTAACAACAAAACTCTTTGTTAGCACCTTTTAAATTACCTGCGCCTCTACTACTAAGGATTGAAGGGAGGGCAGGGCAACATGAAATGAGTACAAAAGCACTTGTTTGGGTCTGGCAGTGCTGATCAGAGAACTGATCTCTGGGAGCTTCATGAAACAGCTTAAGGTGTAGGGCAGATGAAGAGAAGAAGCTATGCTGAGTGAAGGAAGGCAGAGCTTTCATGAACCTGTGGGTGATATAGGTTGATAGAGGTGTATGTTGTAGGATGAACATGCTGAGAGGCTACGATAGAAAGATGGATATATGACATGGCATACTTCAAAGTTTTTGGAAAACATACTTTGAATTTCTGGCCAGGGCATGATTCCAAGTGTTGCATACCTCTCTGCAGCCTCACAACTGCATCTACTGTTTTTACAGTTGTTATCATATGTAAAGAGCTCAAGTAGTTTAATAAATCGGGGGCAAGGTTTTCTAGGTCCTATGAATAATAACAAAACAAAACAAAACAAAACGGTCTTGAGGGATTTCAGTGTTTTTAGTAGAAATCAGGTGGTCTTGAAAATCTAAATGTGCCCACTAGTATCCTTAAATTCCTTAGCAAATTTCCTGATTTACACCAAGAAAGCATTTGACTCTTTATGAAAACGTAAAACATATAGTTACTGTCAAAATTATTAAAATATGTATGTTAGAAAGAAGAAAACATACCCAAAAAATCTAAGAGAGAAGCTTAAATAGTAAGAAATTACAAGATGTGTAAATATATTTTTTTCTAAACAATACAAGAAAATTATAATAATGTGTATGTGTGAAAGAATTAAGACTGTGCATACAGTCTTAATAGACACATGTTCTGATTTTAAATACTTCAATGTGTACTTCACTGTCTTTGAAATATTTTTAGGTATGGAATAAAAAGAAATGTTCACATGGCTGATACAGAAGTGATCTGTCTTCCCATGAAACCGTTTTGAGAAAGATGATGCAAGCTGGCTTCTTTGATGAATGTGGAAGAAATTAATTCCTTTTATTCTGTATCAATTTATATAAACCTTAAACATCAGCCAGTCTCAGTATCAGATCATGTCTCTTTAACTGTTGGTTTGACATAATTTTCTGCTGGCTGAAATAAGAAAATGGGAAAATAAAAGGGAATGAGTTTATATTTTTAAACCACTACTATGAAAAGGACATGAAAAAAAGTCCTTTTGGACACTGAAAGTTGTCATCCTAGGAAAACTGATTAACTTAGCAGTAGGTAGGAAAAGAGTGCCTCAGGCCAAAAAGGATCAGTTTGTAAGAGACATGCAAAGTCTGGAAGGCATACAGAAAGGGCCTGGCTCTTTTAAAATGTTAGAGAAATTAAGCTCTACCTGAGGCAAATTAAATGCCTTAACACCAGAAAAAAAAAACAACAACCAAAACAAACCAACAAACCAACAGATCAAGGCTTGGAGATAATCAAGATGAAGCTGTTACTAGGATGGGAGTAAAGCCAATTATCATGTAAACCTGTAAACTAGGTATAGAATGGCAGTGACAAAGAACATGAGGGAAATTTTTGCTTTCCTACTTGAAAAATAGCTCAGGGGTGTGCAGGTAGAACTATACAGAATGAGATAGTAGCTCTGTAAGAGCTCACTGTGTCCTGTCAACACTCATCTGCTTGTATAGATTACTTGCAGTAATGTATTTTCTGTTAATTTGTGACAATAGACACATAAATACATATTTGCAGGGCTTGTTTTTGTGGAGGATTTGAGGAAGCCAAATAAACAGTTTAACAAAGTAGAAGCATGGGATACTCTGATTTTCAGAAATAAAAGAGAATAGAAGTACAGCATCTCAACTTTGTAGGGTGTGCTCTTGAAGGATTTTGTTTTTAATTGCAAGATCAGAAAAGGTGTCTGCTCCCCCTTTGTCTGTCTGGAGTGTACGCTGGAAAAAAAAAACCCAGACATGGGAAACTAGAGACTAGGCTTCATGGCTGGAAGACAAGCAGATCCTTTAGGCTGATGGTATGAGATTAGGTTTTATCAATGCTGCTAGTTCTTTCTGAAGCATTGTCCCTAGTCTTGTAATGTGTTAAAATCCATGAGGAAAGTTTGATTATGTCCGTTAAAAATTGTCATGTAAAGGTCATCTGTAATTATTCTAGTGGAAATCAAGTAATGAAAAATAAGGAGGAGCAGTTAGTAAAAATTACTCAGCAGCTCGGTGATATTCTCTGCTTAGTACTTAATTTGTTATTTATAGTAAGCTCAAAGTGCTAGATACACAATTAAACACCAAATCTTACCAGCACATAGGAGATAGGTCCAGCTTCAGTTGATGTGCAGTTAAATATAAAACAAGACTGTTAATGAATATGACTAAATACGAGGACTGCAGAGAAGAGGGGCGAAAAAAGGGCAAAAGGTCTCACAATATGCACTAATGTGAAAATTACTAAGAAATGTACATTGATGTGCTTGGTGTCCATCTTCTGTTGGCTTCTCTGGCACTGTGGCTGGACAATCCACACTGCAGCTTCAAACCAATTTTCAATTTAGGTTTGTGTCCCCAGGATACCAAACTTCTCCTGTGTTCTGAGCAGGATTTCCACAAACTGCAAAGTCCATATGGGATTCATACTCCCTGGGAAAATAAATGCTGTTAATGGAAAACAAAAAAGTACCACTTAGTTTGTTCCCATTTCTTTACCACCTGCTGCTTTCAGGTGTATAGAATGCTTACACTGTCTTTGCTGTACTGTTCTTTGCATCTTTCTCTGCTGTGATTTCCACAGAAGTGTGGCTTTTTAGTGCCTGTGTAACATTATTTATTAAAATACCAACCATTTATAAAGTGATTAAGCACCATTAATGTTATGAAAATTTTAACTGTTTTTTTTTCTTCCATCAGGGGACTAAGAAGTATCCCAAGTCTATCATGGTTTCATAGGTTAAGGTATTTGTGGATTAACAACAATAAGGTAATAAGGTATTCCTTTAAAAAGTAGAGCAGTGCATCTATATGCCATTATTATTATTTCATAGTTTTTCTAACATAAAGTATTATTGCCAAGCTAATAAATTATTTTTAATCTCTATGCAAATTTAACTGATTTAAATATGCCAGTTTTGAAGGAATGGTATTTTTCTTCACAGAGTGTAAGCTGATTTATTTTCTGTTAGATTCACGTCACATTTTTATAAATCCTGTGCATTTAAGAAGCTGAAGTTTTGTATTAATATCTTGGGAATAAAAAGAAAGATTGAGTATATTTTGAACTAAGTTATTGGCAAAATTGCCTGACTGACAGCATACTGATACCTGATGTCTGGGATAGCAGTCTCCAGTGTAGCTCATAGCAATTCTACCCTTGCCCACCAAAGTGGGTGGCTCTTGGAACAGACCGAGGGGTGATCTGGTTGAAAGGTTTTCTTAAAACAACTTCTGGGCTACCTAGTTTTTCAGGAAAGAAGTGGACTGCAGGAAATATGTCGCTCTTTTCTTATGCCCTTGCAGACATGCATAGTTTATTTCCTGACAAGCTGGTGGTTGAGGTGAGACTGCCTTTTGTCCTCATGCACATGAGAGTGACAGATAACTCTTTCATATGTGCTTCTCCATGTGCAATGCTAGGGCTGATGGGGTGGCTTCTGCTGTTATGCAGCATCTTGTCACCTAAATCTGTTTGATTTATGAGAGATTTCCAGGTGAGTGATCAGAGTATGACATTGGGCCCCATTGTTTTCTCTTGTTTCCAATACGATGTACGATCCTAAGCCATAGAGTTCCACAAACCACGTGTACTTTCTGCATCTGTGCAAATCTAGATTATAGCACTTATTATATCCTGTAGGGCTTTTAAGACAATGCTTTGTCAAAAATCTCTGGACACTACAGTTTCCAGCCAAGTCTAAGCACATTGTATCTTACACAAAATCACCTACTTGACAGTAGAATTAAATTTAGAAATCTTTAAATACATAGCCAACCATTTTTAAATGGTTGAATTGAATCCAAACTGTCACCAATAGCCACTGGTAATTAAAAAGCAAGAAATGTGACAAACACCACAAATATCTAACCTGCTTTTAGATGTCTTACTGTGCTGTAATTTACATGACTTTCGCAGTGGGCTTAAGTTCTTAAAACTTCAGAACTTCTTGCTCAGGTTAACAAGTAGCTCTGTGAGCAGCAGAAAAAAAAAAAAATACATTCCATGTCACTTAGAAGTGTATGTGTATCTGCTGCCTCAGGCTAACATCAATTATATAGCATCTTACGTCAACTTCATTGAAAAACCTCTAGATATCCAACTATTTAAAAAAAAAAAAAATTGTTACATTAAAAAGTTGAACTAAAACCACAGGTATAGTAAGGCTTTCCCTTGTATTTCTAAAGGACAGTAAGGCATAAGAAGAAACAGCCTGATGACTAAGCTAACCATAAAAGAGAAATAAATATGATTTTTGCACAGATATCACTTGTGTACCTAAGCAGAAACAAAGTGCATGCGTCTGTTTTTCTATATAAGCTGTGTGGATATGTCACTTTTTTTATAACTTGTGTGGAGAAGGCACTCAGTGGCTTTCTTAGGAGAAGTCTCAGCTAAACGTTGTAACTGGGGAGCATATTTTTCTGAACTCAGGTGGTCTATGGTCTTTTTTTCTTTCCTTAAAAATGCATTACAATGATTTTGTCACAAAAAAATAAGTGAATTTCAGATGATCCTAAAATACCCAGATTTGTCAAACACCACTGCATACAATATGTGTGTAGGGTTTGCATTGTGCAAGATACAATAATAATTCTGCAGAATAGGATTTTTGTTATTTGTAAAATATTGCCGTTTTCATTGAAACATTTTCTGAGGTGAAGCAAGACTCGGAGAATGGTATTCTTTTGAACTTTAAAGTATCTTCATTCGGAGGATTTCAGACATCTTTAAGAATGGAAAAACTTCTGTCTTCTTCTAACTTTCAGATATTGTTAATGCACAGAGCGCAGCACATTGGTTTTAAACTTAGGGGCACAATTCAAAGACTGAAAATCTTTCCCCCTCTAACAAATAACTTTGCATCACAGAAATCAAAGTAGTGACAGGAATAAAATTCTGCTTGTTGTTCTTACATTTATACCGTAAGATAAATACTTAGGCACGGTTAGTACTCCCAGCTCTCAACTGTTGTAGTGGCCGGTGTGGAGTATCTCATTGCATATGCCACCTTGCATTGCAGTCAAGATAAGATTAAAAGTGAGCTTCTCCAAGCAAAGGGATGAGATTTCATAAGGACTGAAGATAACTCTCAGTTGGGAACTATCCCCAGACATACATTTATTTTTTTTTCTATAATTGTCATTGATTCTGTAAATCTGATTGTCAGTTTTGGAAATTTAGAAGAAATATGTGCCCTTTGGACATGCTGATGAAGAAATATTTTTAAAATTATATGCTTGGCTTATTCCAAGGTTATATTTCAGGACTATTCATAAACCAAGATAGAATTATTACATCCTACAAAGGTGTTCTCACAATAAAAGATATTTCAAATGTGAATAGAAGTATAACAAATATGAAGACCAATAATTCAATGAAATCTGTTTCCAAATACAAATATTAAATTAGTAGTTGAAGAAATTCAGTAAGACTGTACTATTTTTGATATATAATTAGTATTTCTAATGAAGGTTCATCTGTCAAGAGAATCCTTAGACCAAGGGTCTTAAACAGAAATAAAAGAAACTACCTATAGTTAAACAGTTTTGAAGAGACTATGTTTACATTCCTCCAGAGATAAATTTAGATTGACATGTAACAGTTTTCCTAACTCTAATTTCAGATTCAAGATTTAACTTTCTTGATCAAAAACTATTGTTTGACTGAGCTCTATCTCAACAATAATGAACTGACAGATATATCAGGTACCAGTCTTCCCTTTTTGGAGTGTTGAACAGAGGCTTATGCTTTCTTGTCTGTGTATTTGCTTTCAAATTTACAAAACTGGATGACAACAAGTAACCCAAAGGTTGAAAACTCCTATGTATGCATAACAATACATGTTAATTAATAGAGATTTAATTGTTCCACCATACCTGACTGGCAATGGGGTGAAGATGTAAAGCTCTTTTTACAAGATGATTGGTAGTCCTCTTGCTGATGCGGTACCTTTGGAGAGCCATTTGTGTTTATATGATGAGAAACTGATAGCAACTGCTGACAGACTTAACACAAAAATAGAAGGGTAATGAATTAATAAGTTGTCCGACATGTAAGGTAGTCACTAAGGTTCTGCAACTTCCTCATGAGATAGATACTTTTATAATTGGAAGTATTTTGCAAAGCTAACTGCAAAACTGCTTTACTGTAAAACATTGGTCTTACACAACTATTTTGGTTTTGCTTCTCTTATAAAGTGGCTGCACCAGACTAGTGAATTTGTAAATGAAGAGGGCAAAGCATAATAAATTTGTGCATGTTTTAGACATTTCAGATGTTAAAATTTTTCTTTTCTCTGTCCCTATAAAATGTTGGGATGAGAAATTACATTGATTACTTTCTGTGAGATTTTGAGAAAAAATGAATGTTTGAAAGAATGAAACATGAGCACGAGACAATACAGAAGATAACAAAATATGGGTAAACAGGGCAAGTATCTTGGTAGAGAAGTGTGGATGAGAAATACTGTGTAGAATTTGGAAAATGAGATGTGTAAGGCTGATGTGGTTTGAAGATGTGAATACAGAGTCTGGGTCAGCCACAACATTTTGTAATAATTTTTTAATACATTAATAATTATTTGAAATTGTACTATTTTCTAAGGAATTCTCTATTTATTGCTTGTGAAGCAAAGGTAGTATTAGGTCACAGTAAAAGGAAGTGAAAAGGAATTAATCTAAGATTACTGGATACTAAGATTACTTCCTATATTGTAAGGAAGGAAGCAAAGGAAGGAGGGAGTAAGGGAGGGAAGGAGGATGCAAGGTGTCGCCAAAAGGCAGGCATAGGTGAATAACTAGAATATCAAATTAATTGTGTGGCATAGCAAAATAATTATCTAATAAAGGCAGTCAGGTGTGGTAAGAATTATTTTTTTTTTTAATTTTATTTCAGGTGCTCTGAAACACTTACGAGCCTTACAGATTCTGTTGCTTCACAACAACCAGTTAAATAAACTTGGCAAAACAGTGAAGGAATTGAAAGGAATGATAAGCCTGCAGACCCTAAGTAATACCTTATTTTTAATTTGCACAACAGTGAGTGGTAGTTTTTTAGTGTTTCTTTTCAGGACGTTTCTTGTCTGTTTCCACATCATTTGCCAATAGCTTTTGAAGCTAATTACCAATTTCCACCAAATTTGACAGAAGAGAGAGATCATGATCAAGACATTATCATTCCAGAGAGTAGTTCAACTAAGGAAAAACTGCCCAATGAGTTCAGAAGTTAACTCTTTTTTTTGTGCTGGCTAGCCAGTCTCCTGGGTAAGTAGCTTGGAGACAGTCAAAGCAGTTCACTGCTGCCTTTTTGTAAGGCAAAACCAGAGTAAGTTGAGAAATGGGTGTTACTGCAGTTGATAGTATGAGTGATAGGTTGTAGAACCCAAATTCCTGCCTCATTAATTCTGTTGCTCATAGAACTTACTTTCTGCATCTTTTTTTTGGCAAGCTGTGTGTTTCTAGATTCTAAGAACAAGTATACTTTAGACACCAAGTATAACAATATCTGTTAAGCAGTATACTTTTTGATATACTGGCTGGAAATGAAAGTAGCATAGTTTCTAAAATTTGAAATTCAGTGATACAAGACAGCATTGGCACCACTAAGTTACATTGTAAGAAGTAGCTTCCAGGGAAAGCAAGGTGATATGCTATTAACCTCTTGAAAGTGAAAATGTAAGCAGGTTTTTTTCCATGGTTCCTAAAAGAATGTCATCACAGGTGATACCAAACACTCAGTACTAAAAAAGTTTTGCATCTCAGTGACACAGTTATTGGAGGTAAATGTCATCAAGCCATACCTCCTTTTGCATCCAGAAAATGGAACATGTTATTGCAGGAAAGGAAAGTATGGCTTGAAAAGTACACTTGCAGTTGAACTTGACACTGCACCAAAATGAAAAAAAAAACCACATAATTTGTTTAGGAAGACAACACACCAGCAAGGTTATTATACATTTTTTCATTACATGCAAAATTGAAAAAATAGTCCATATAGGAATGCAGTTTGTTTCAAGTGAGTAGGCAAGGTCCAGACAGACAACCTATGTATGAATGGTGTAGTCACTTGAATTCAACGTTACAGCTCTACAAATGAATAAGGAGCTTCAACAGGCACAGGAAGTTTGTTGTACTTGTTGCATCTGTGGGAAATAGAGACAAATAGCTGATAGTTGGAAGTGCTGCTGAGTTATTATGAACGGCACTCACAAAGACATAGAGAATACTAGGTGCATATTGGGCTGGTCACCATGAGAGAAAACGAAATGTTTAAGAAAATATACCAGTCTACCCTGATTAAAAAAAAAAAAAAATAAATTGTTCTTCAGTTCAAAGATATGAGAGTAAACAGTAACCAGTGGAAGAAACTTAATAACATCATATTTACAGTCATTCTTTTTTGACCTTTGCAATCATGAAAAAATTGCGAATGTTCGTTTCAAAGAGATTTCATATTAATGAGTTTTCAAATTAAAAGGAGTCTATTGGTTTAGTAAAATGCATTGTCATATTTGAAGGAATTAACAGCAGTAAATGAACAAAACAAAATTTCAAAGTGATATCCTACATATGATATTATGACATCATTTATATGCCTCCTTCTAATATTATGAAATGTGAAATGGGTGCAGAATTTATACTGTGTAGCTTTGAAAAGGGCTGTGCCCATAATTCACCTTTATAGAATAAAACCTGTTTTGGAAATGGCAGAATTTTCACTCTTGTGAGGTAGATCTTTTTTATTTCTGGACAATCCAATTATCAACTCCCACTTACTAGCCTTCAGCAGAGCTTTTGGGTGATTATTTTGTAGTGCTTGGGGACATTAAAACAATTAAAATGGAGCAGTCTGATACACTGTTATTGTTCACTTCAGAAGTAGCATCCAGCTGCTAAAATGTTTCATTTCTTTTCCTTAAAGGTGTCTGGTGATTTTCAGCCAGTGCCCTGCACTGGATTTGTAGCAAAACACTATTCTTCATCAGATGTTTAGGGAAGACCCTCAGTTTCTAGATTTACTGGATGGGTTGCTCACAACTGCAGCCTTTTGGGAAATACAGAGAACTTCTCTATGGGCTCACCTTGTGCTGACATCCCCCTTTTGGAATCCAAGATTTTTGTTATGTACTCTGTAAATTGTCTCAGCTGATTTATTTTCCACAGCTGATCACATCTTGCTGCTAGTCCTCAGAAAACTCTTTTTGTTCTTCACCACGTTTCTACTGCAGTAGTTCCTTTTTGCCCCATGTGGGATAGGCACGCTGTTTTCCTATACTCCAAATAGAGAAAACAGACAAAACTGTGGAGGAAGAAAGCATTATCCCTAATTTGTAGAAATAAAATTGCATGCCCTTGACAAGAAAGTAGATAGCAGAGCCAAGAATTGATCCCAGATGTTTTGTAAAATAAGACCATCTTGAGCCATACAGTAGTTTGATTTACTGTAAGAATGAGCAGTAGAAAAATTCCTATACTCCAAAACAAACCTACAAATCAATGTTGATGGGGAGGGACGTGCTCCAAGTAGCATCCAGATTCAGAAGTACTTAGAACTGATCCTGGGTTGTGCCTTGGGAAAATCTCTTATCAAGTCTTCATCCCATTCAACTACCAAACGTACCTTCTTTTAGAGATCTTTCTGAAACATTTTTCTATCTGGAATGCTCTCACATATTTTCTAGACTCAAGAACAGGCTTATCAGATATGGTCTTAAAATACTTTGTGATAAACACTTTCTAGAAAAAAAAATAGCTAAATATGACTTCGTTTGATAAAAATGGAACTTTCTTTTACTGCCACCTTGTGGGTCTCTTAGTACTTCCAAGTACAGTGATTTAAATTTTTTTTTTTTTTTAAAAAAGTATTTTAAGTTCTCTGAACACACGAATAGATGTTTTCTATGTAGGAGTTACTAAATGCCCATTCTACTCATACTGCACCCTCAAAATAACTGTTAAATCTCACCAAGCACAGAGCCCTCTTTGGGAGACAAACTTACCCTGAAGAACATGAAATGGCAGCTTGTAGTTTACAGATCTCAGTGGAATATTTCCAGACTTTTTTCTTTTTCTACTATCTCTTATTTGCTTCTGCAGTACCATCTTTCTTTGCCTAACTGCTAGAATTATATATAACAGGATTTTTTGCCCTAGAGTGAATATTAACCACAGCCTCTCCTCAAAAAGAGAAAACCAGACCTTGGTACAATTTTTCAAAATTATAAATTTATCTTTTTTTTTCTCTGCTCTTATCTCAATATAGCAGCTACCTGATTATTTTTACTGTCTCAGAAGAAAAGCATTTGTAGAAGGAGAAAAATAGCATTATTATGGTTTTCATTTAGAAAAAAAAAATACCCCAAAACATCTGGGTTTTTGTTAGCTTATCTGGCAATAAGCCAGTTTCTGTTTTAATCACTCAGATATCACTTCCACAAAACAAACTGATCTGACATGCCAGCTAGGGAAGTGTTGCACATCTGGCAAAGCAGCAGCACAGTCAGCAGACAGATCCTGTCTCTGTGTTGCAAAGGTTTGGTTGTTCAGGTAACATTAAGCTGAACATAAGTATTTTAGGCAAGTTGCTAACAGGCTTTTGGAGCTTATTACCTCAAGAGTTAGTGGGACCCAGGATATCAGGAACTTAGGCCTTTTTAAACATTTTATCCTTTAAGTTTCTTGAGTTTTCAAACTCATCATCTGTTAAAACATCAGAAGATGGGGGATTTATGTTTTATATCGTGCCTGTGGGATAAAACCTTTATATCAGCTATGAGAAAGTCTTTAAGCGTCCTAAAGCTCATCTGGCTTTAATAACTCTCTCCAACTACAAATTTTGTGTCTTACCTTTAAGTTGTCACACCTACAAGGCTACTATTATTTAAAATAGGCATCACCTAACAATATATAAGAAAATCAAAGGCAAACGCTTCGTGGTTTTGTCTGTGTAACATAAAAAATAGAAAAAAAAACTTCAAAGGTTTGGAATGCGTGATGGCACCTTTACTCGGTTATTGCCTGTGGCATTTTGCATGCTCTGCAATAAGCCAACTCTTGCAGTCTGTGGTTAGTTGAGTTATTTTGTATAAAGAAATAGTTGTTTGTTTACCCAGCTTAAGAACATTTTGAATTTGCTAATATTTTGTACAAAATCTTTGGCTACTAGTAATCTTTAATTTTCCTGCTTTGCTAAGTTAGTTTTTCTTTGGCTGAATTTGGCTTTTTATGATGTTGTTTGTTTGTTTCTGTATACATTTTGCAGACCTGTTCCATAACCCTTTGGCACAAGACCCAGACTACCGGCTTTATGTGATAAACTTCCTTCCTTCAGTGCAGCTCCTTGACAGGAAGCGTAAGGATTGCTTTCCTCTTCTCACAGAGCAGTGACAGTTGCTTTTGATTTTGGTTGGTTTGGAAAAACAGACAAATTAATCTTGCCTGTTCTTTTATGTGCGTTTGTTGATACAGATCTAATGAACAGATACCCATTTTCCAAAAGATTTGTCAAGCAAATAGAATTTGCATGGCATCAACAGTTTACTTTGCCAAATGCTTTTGGTTTCTGTCTTTTTAAATTGTGTGTCTTGATCTCGTATCTTGGTCTATGTGTTTTTGGGTAAGAGATAAAAGGCTGTGCTTAAAAACATGTACCTACATTTGTGCATTCAAATTAGTATATTCACCTGGGTGAGTGTGTTTACTCAGATATGGATAATATCCTCAACTATCTACATGTTTCTGTACAGTTTAAATATGTATTTGCACATTTCTTGATGAGGTACATAGTGACCATGCTTTCAAATATAGATCTTCATAAATCATCAATTTCAGAGCTTGTCTTCTGTAAATTCTACAGGGGGAAAAAAAAAAAAAGTCTTGGGAATAGCCAGGTGATAAATTGGTCAATCCATAAACATGCCACAGCAGACCCAGTAGATTTACTTCAGTGACTTCAGTGACTTTTGTTTGTGGTGTTTGGAGAACTGTGTGATTGGCAGGAGGACTGAAAATTTAGACTAGAGAGCGCTGAGAAAGGTGTTGATTCCTACCCCACCTCTACCTTATAAGAAAATAGCAAGGAAAATGCAGTCTTGAAAACCTGCTCCCAGTCTCTAGGAGAATCGGGATGCAGGACTTGAGCAGTGCAGCCCCAGGAGGTCTGCAGGTGCTGGCAGAGTGGGTAGCTCTGTCATGAAGGAAGGACGGTGGATGGACCACAGCATGTGTCAGGGGCTGATGAGGAGCTGCTGGATCTAACCACATGGCCATTTGCTTACACATTAATTTTGCACTAGTACCTCCAGTCTCTGAATATTTGGTCTTGTGTTACACCTGTGCTTAGCACATCTGTCAGACTGGATTGCTAGTGATCTTTCTTGACTAGGGTGTGATGACTGAAGCTTAATGAGCTGGAAAATCCGTGTTGCATTTACAGCTCTAGAAACACTTCCGTAAAACTTCCTGCAGTTAATCTAAATACAGTTATAGTGTAATCAGTCCTGGATTAAGACTTGAGACACTAATTTGTATCAAGCAGTAGCCTGGACTTGCTATTTGCTGAACTATTTCTCTAACCTTACAAAGCTGCTTCACCATCTGTGGAATGTTAGCACAGCATGGTCCTAGCTGTCTCCTGTACACAAGACACGTGCTTACTCTTCTGTTACCTCCAGGCATGACTACTGCAGTTCCTTCCTAATTGGTCCCCTAGACACCACAACTTGAAAATTTCCCTGAATCCAAAATGCTTCTGTCAGAGTTATTTGTTCTAAGTCTTTAGCTCACTTCTGTTCCATAGCTGAGGTACTGGGTTAGTATGCAGTTCATATCACTGATGTTAACATCCCCTCTTTGAGTTGATAGTCTCAAACTCTTTGTATAATATTTCAAGTTATTTTTTAATTAAGTGAAAAACAGGAAAAATTGAGGCTTTTGTTTTGATTGCACTCTTACAGTTTTCTCTATAATTGTGCAATGAGAATTGAACAGGCCTTGAACCAGGAATTGGGTTTGCTGGTCATAGAGAAACTTCCAAATCTTTACAGACTTCTGCAGTAGATCTCACTGAAGTGTTACTAGAAGTCTTGCTTTCTAGTTTCTTGGTGTGAAACCTCTGATCCTACTGCACCCAAAAGGAATTAAAATATTTTATTAGACAAGGCTTAAAGCCTGAGGAAGTATCACTCCATGTTCACCTTTTGAATCGTTGTTACACTGCTATCGTTACGAAACTCTGCACAAAGAACATGAATCACCTTCTGCATGATAGATAATACAAGTCTTTTAAGTTGGTAGAAAAAAATTTATTTTTTATATCCCTTTTAACAGCAGTTACACAAAGAGAAAGGGAGTCAGCACTCCATCTTTATAACCACGAAAGGTCTTGGGTTGTGCAGTCAATAGCTTTTGGAAAGAGAGTAAATATACCCCTGGGGACTACAGCAGGATCTAGCAGATACACTCAGCGAGCCAGAAGACCAGTGATGCCCTCAGGTATTTATAATAATGTGAGGAAGATCATACAGTTTTAGGTGATTTGTATTAGAAAAAGTTCTTTTCATTCATCTGATAAAAGCTATTTGTTTTAGTAATAAAGTGTAAGTGCATCAGGAACTCAACCAGGTTGCTTCATAAAGTAAGTAGCAGTAGTAGTGGCAGTAGTAGCAACAGACAACAAGTTAATCCTTCTAGTAAGAGTATTGTGGCAAATAAATTCTAGTCACTCTTTGTAGTTACAGAGTTGTCTTTAAAGGTAGCTGAACAAACAATTTTTTTTTTTTTTTTTGTCAATGTGTATGCTGTGAGTGTTTAATTTAATGAAAAACATCTCAGTAAGTTTCCAGGGTGAGTCTCAGAGAGAGATCAGCATCACGGAGTTTTGATGCCCTCTAGTGCTTTTATAAAAAAATCTCTTGAAAAAAGTATTTTCTTCTAAATAGTGTTTTAACTTTTACATATCTTGCTTAGTTTTGTAAGCAGATTTCTTTTTATGCTTTCCAAGCCAAGGATATTTTAATGATGTCATCTAATAGCATATGAAGTAATTTTTAGACTTACTAATTTGTAGGTCTGGAAGACAGCATGATCCTGGCACAAGAAAGCAGACGAATAGCACCTGGAACCTTATGACTTGCACTGTGTAACAATCCAGAAAACACCTTAAAACATTTAAAATGAACATTTAAAATCATCTGCTGATTTTCAGTTCATTTGAACAAGTAATTTAGGATCAGGATGGTAATCCTCAGTTAATCCAAGTTCTGTACATTCATTGTCTCAATTTCAACTTTTTATTATAGGTTGTGAATTTGGAAACCACAAAAAGAAGTAAGTAATTTTTTTACTTCCTTTTTTTTTTTTTTTTTTTTTGCATCTGTGAAGTATTTACTTAATTTCTTCTTCTCCTGCCTAAAAAATACCCTAACCAGGGAAAATGTCTGGTAAAAATGAGCTTTTGAAACATTTACTGGTCCTCTGTATTGAACATTGTTGCAACTCTATATTATTCTGATAAGAGAACCTACCTGTTGCTGTCGGAAATTTAATATTGAAAGGTGTTCCACATTTGGAAATGGGTATATAAAAATGCTATTTATTTATAAGATCAAATACTGGTCACTAGAAAAAACATGCTTTAAATATTAGAGCATCAGAATAGCTGTTCTATATTATGGCCCAGACAACTTTCTCCTGACTGGCTGTTCAAAAGTGCATACTTTCTGGAAAATATTACTGACTTGTAGAATGAAACTTTTTTGGTCTGTACGTCAGGTTACTTTTATTCTGTTTGGTTTCAAAATCATAGAAATAAATGTAAAAATTACCTCTTTTATCTCTGTGTCTGAACTGAGGCAGTACAAAGGTTGCATTTTAATGTAGTGACATTTTTACATGCTGCCTTTGTAAGAGTGAATTTACAGACTTCAGACACCAGGCTTGTTTATACTTGCTAGCTTTACCTATGAAAATATTTCCAAGATTTATTAAAAGAAATAATAAGAGCTTACATATGATGATATCCTTTAACAATTTGATTTTATAGAGCTACTCACTTTGAGTACAGCTCTTTACAGTCAACCTAATTTATGCTTAAAAATGAATTATTTCCTGCTTTCAGTAGCGTTAGCCACTCTCACTTCTACTATAAATGTATTTCAAATGATTTATAGTGTGACTTCATTCCTTAGAATCCTGTGACTTTTCTGACCTTTTCTCAATTTGTTTTGCTTTCTTAAATTGGGTAAAAGAAGGAGACCTCCAGAGAATTTAAAAGTTTAACTCCTCACTGCTAGCATCATTGTGACTTCAAGCTTCACTTTCTACACAGAGTGTGCATGGAAAATTACCTCCAAAGCAGTTTGGAATCATTCAGATAAGAGTGTTTGTTTTTTTCTTTTTGTAGAGCACCATTTGAGAACCCTGAAGATGCTGTTTTACTACGGGCAATGAAAAGATCTCTAATGGAATTTTCCTGTGTTGACTGGAACGAAGTAGCCACCTGTCAAGAAAGACGGCTTGAGAACAAAGCAGAAGAACCCTGTGAGAAGCTGACAATCCAATTTAGATGACTGCTTTCTTCCTTAAGAAATTAATGATTCCTCTCTCTAGTGTGGAGATAAACCACTGAAGTAAGTTAGTATCTCTATAAACTAAGTACACTAAAACATGCATCTAATTAAATGAACTTCCTGAAAGAAAAGTATTAGTGTAACCCTCCTTTTATCATCAGATATTTAATATGGAGATTGAAGAAATTAAGAAAATGAGTGATAAATAGTGGCAATGTTACAATAAAAGTTGCTTGAAATGCAATTCTGCCATAGTTTTGTTATCATAAATTATTAACACTAAACAGCAAGTTAATTTTTAAGAAACTACAGATAAAGAATTTCATTCGATATAGTTTCAACTGGAGAATTAGACTTAATATCTTCGCTGGCAGTAATTTTTCTTCTTCCATCTAAGTAAAGATATGAGAAAGTGACCATTAAGCTTTTCTAATTTCTGAAAGGGATTAAAGTTTTGATTTGCTGATTTTTGTGGTGCTTGAGTGCACTGAGAACTCTTAGTATTATGAGGTTACTCGTTTGATCTCACTACAGTGGAACCGTAACCTCTTAAGCACGCTGGTATGGAGCTGCTGCCTGTGGCTGCTGATACTGTCCCAGAATGCAGGCCTCTGCTTACTGGTCCTTTTGGAGAGATGGGATTCACCTTACACAACACACTGCCCCAGAACTGCTGACTGGTTTTAACATACACCCTTTTATAGCCACGTGTCGTATGGTAGAGCCTGTTACCACTAAGGAAGGTAGCGGGAGATGTGCACATAGATGCAAAATAATACATTTCCTCACATCTTTCTCTCTCCATTCTGCCAAAAGTGTAAAGTCAGTGCTGTCTGACACACCAAAGCCCTTCGTCAGCCTGTGGCTGTCTTCTGAGTTCCTTCTTTCTCTCCTAAATTAGCACAGACTCACAGAATAGTCTAGGTTGGCGGGGATCTCTGAAGCTCATCTAGTCCAGCCTTCCTGTTGAAACAAGATCCAGTGTCCTGTCAAGGTGAGTCAAATATTTCCAGTAAGGGAGGTACCACCACTTCCTGGCAATCTCTTTCAGTGTCTAATTAGATTCCAGAGCATTTTCCTTATATTCAGATGGAATTTGATCTGCAACAACTTGGGCCTGTTAGCTATTTTCCTGTCACTGTGCATCCCCCATCTTCTCTGTAACTTCCTCTAAGTATTTTAAGACTATGATTAGATCTCCCTTCTAAGTCTTTTCTCTGGGCTGAACAAACCAAATTCCTCCAACCCTCTGATCATTGTGGTGGCACCCTTGATGGACCTCTCTTGTTTTATAATGTGTCTTTTGAACTTAGTTGACCAAAATGGGACATAGTATTCCAGGCATGGCCTAACAACTGCCAGGTTAAGTGACGTAATTACACCTTTGACCTGCTGGCTGTACTAAACTGTTGTCTTCACCGATGCATGGCACCATTTGCCTTGGGTGCTGCCAGGGCGTACTGCTGGCTCCAGGTGAGCTTGCTGCCCACCAGAATCCCGAGGTCCTTTTCATCAGACCCAGAGAGCTCCCAGTCTGTACTGCTATTTAGGATTGCTCCATCCCAGACACGGGACTTTATCTTTGTTAAATCTCCTAATTCCTTTCACCTTTTTGATGTTAGATTCCTTCCTTTTGATTTCAGCTTGCCTGTTTTTCTTCCTTAAAGTTCCCTACTTTTTATAAATGCTCTTAAATTAGCCACATCTTAGTGGTTTTAAAAGCTAGATCAACACCTTGGTTTCAAATAGGTTTCAAGAATGTTTAATTTCTCAAACCGAGTCAGTCTACAGAGAAGGTAGACCAAACTAAGCTTCAGCCAACATTTTTTCTTAAAGAGGTCCTAAGCAACTATTAGGATTGATTAAGTGTAATCCCTAGTTTGCCTTGAGTCTTTTGAACTCTGACAGCTGACTATGCTGATGGACAGAGTCTCTAATGTAATAATTTCACTGCAGCAATTTCACAGTCCCAGAATCTCTAGATTCTCACCGTGTCCCACTTGGAGCTAGACTAAAGTAGTAAGTGATGTCATTTTAGAGTATATTTCATCGATTTCAAATTTTGGGATCAAATCAGGGGCACAGTATTTCTGGCCTGCAATATTTTTTCTGCCCCATCTTCTTTTGATTAAAGAAAAATTGAAGCAAAGAATTGTTTCAGTTTTCTGCTCAGACAATGCTGCAGTGCAGCATTTCAACATAAAGCACTTCACTACAGGATCTTTTTTAAAAATGAATTTAACGTCTTCCCCAAAGAATATATATTTTGAAAATAAAATATACATTTTACAGGGGTAACTGTTAAAGAATTTTAACATTTTCATTATTTTTAATCATTAATTAATAATTTAATTTTAATTATTTTCTGTAATCTGAGCGTGTAGATGGGCTCGGAGAAGACAATGAATTATACATATATCATCTTTGACAGTGCTAAGTCCATCAGAACCTCTTAGGATTTTTTTTCCCTTAATGTTTCACCCAAGTGTCCCAGGAACACATAGATTAAACAAAAAAAATTGACCATGGCACCCCAAAGCTCTTTGTCGTAATGCTCACTACCTGTTCACATTGGTAGTTGGTGTATGTCAGCTGCTGTCCAACAAGCCACAAGTCAGTAGAACCACTGACTGCCAACATGCCCACCGTACTTAAAAGGCAGCATGTTCTCTGCACTCATCCATTTGAGCCTTCTCAAAAGCTTTGAGTCTGCTTTAGAGACATCATTGAAAAAGGAATAACATCAAGCTATTTATATACAAGGACTTACTCAAATTACAAAGGTAATTTCAAGTTTTGCTGAGAATTCCCATCAGTTAGATGGAGAAAAGCCTTGAAAACCTACCTACATCAAAAATCTAAAGTCATCTGAACATGAAACATTCAGTTCACTAGAAGATATGCACTCAAGTAGCTTCAGAAGCTTTTATATACTCTTAATTCAATCCGATTTCCCAGGATGAAAAGACAGTGGATATTAAAAACCACTGAGCCTAAAAGTGAACTAAGGAGCAAAACCTATGATGCAGCAGGCCAGACAGACTCACAACTGCTGTTCTTGTATCTAATAAACAGCTGGAATTCTCTTTTTCCCAGGGGAGGGGCAAGAAGTCTTTCGACGCACAGACCACTGCAGGTACAAGAGATGGTGTGTTGGCTATGCACACCACAGGTGTCTCCCCACTTAGAACCTTTCCTGAAGAACTGGTAAATTGCATGTGCATTTTCTTTCTACTTTAAGTTCCTTGGCAGTAATGTATCACAAGAGGTGTCCACCCATTCATTACTACCCAAGAGCTCATCATTACCCCAGGTTTATGCAGGACCCACCAAACATGATCTTCAAACAGAGGAACTGTTGCCAGCTCAAGCTGAGGAGGCAGAGGTAGGTCTGGAGTGTCAGTGCACACCAGGACCCTAACTTGGGTTGCAGTTGCTTCCCTCTGAGGGGAGACAGAGGGACACGTGGCAGCCTCTGCTCATAATGACTGTGAAACCTTTCCAAGTTAGAACAAATGCAGTTCCATAGTCTGTGCCAAGGATCCCACACTTCACACCTACTCCCAGAGTTCAGTACTTTCTCCTATTGCTTGGGCTTTTCCTCTTTACCAAGAGAAAGCACTGGCTGGCAGAAGGAAAGCAGAGTTTGTGCTGTGGGTTTTACCACACTTCTGAAGAGTCCTTTGCCCTCAAGGGCTGGCATTCTCAGAGAAACCTTGAAGTGCAACCCATCCCCCCCAGCCCCAAACACCATGTGTAGAAGAGGGAACCAGCTGCACTTCTGCATTCCCAGGTCCCAGAGCAGACAGTGTCTGCACCGTGACTCCGTATCCAAGTTCCAGGCAAACGCCTCTCGCGTGCCAGCCGTCATGAAATTAAACTTGTACCCCTACGCCCCAGGAGGCCCATGCACGTCAAATGACAGTGTTGCCACATGTCCCAGCAGGCCTTACAGATGCAGTAAACAGTTTGCCACACAGCTTCCTTCTTTTAAAAAACTTCCCTTTATTCCTCACAATTAATACTTGAAATGAAAACACAGGTACATTCCCTGCACAGGTGCATGTATGCATTTGCACTCTTAGAGATTTCAGCATGTTAAACAAAAACTTTCAATATATTAAATAGTAAAAAGTTAACAGCATTTTACCTCTGTTTTAAGGATGGTCCTTTTTCCTCTAAGTTGAAAGATATTGCCATGTTCAAACCACCAGTTATTAATAAAAAAATTAGAGAATCTCAACTTTTGCCATCCTTGTGCAACAAGCGATATTTTTGGCTGTGGCATTCCCATTGATTTCATCACAGTAGTAAATTTGAGTGAAAACAACATAGTTAAGAGAAGCTATTTTCTAGATAGTGTATTTAGTTGAAAGCCTAAGTGAAATCCTAATTGTACCAATTCACACGTGAATCTTCCCATCTAATTCACTGCGACTCAAGTTCAGCGTGAACGATATTAAGCATCTTTTATGTCTATGAAATAATTCATAAGCAACATCGCAGTGTGCTCTAAGGCATCTTTACCTGAAAGCTGAGATTTAGAATCCATTATTCTTGTCAGTCAAAATATTTTAAGTCGTTCTGGTCTTCCCTTCATTAGACTTTAATAAACTTGGAATATTTTTGACCAAAGTGAAATAGTTCTGTTGAAACACATATTCCACAGTCAAATGAAATGTTTGAACAGCAGTATCATTTAGTAAAATTGCCACAAAATAGACACAATTATTGTGCACTCACTAGTCAAAAATATTTACAGTTGTCATGAAAAGTTGAAAATTCAGATAAGTGTCTTCAGAAACTTAACTACTACAGAATTCCTTCAGATGAAGTGTCACAAAGAGGTGTAAAAAAGCAATTTAACAGTTGGCTTCCCAATGCTTTTAACTATAGTTCAGAAGTTACTTGCAGAAAAACATATTTCAATTACAATTAATTTTAATTAATTTAGGTTCTGAAAACATCAATAATCCAAGTAAAATGTGGGTGATTTTAAT